TTTGCTGTCTGCCTGTAAATACCTCAAAGCACTTTCCCTTGATGGACGCATTTGCGGTATAAATAGTCATGTCCTCTTTATTTCACTCCAAGGTTTAATTAATATATAAATCAAATGCTTATAAAACTCACAAATGCTCGGGAAGATGTAAAATTTAATTAGTTTGCCCACACAACTCCATATGTCAACTGTTAGCTCAATTACTCTTCGCCATGAAATACTGACTGCACTTTCCCATATTAGTAATTTCCTTCTATCTCAGAGTCATGGTTAATCAACACCCTGAACCCAACACACACACTCCTGTTAAATTAAATATTGAGCACAAGGAGCGAGAGCCTCCTTAATGAAATCACAGCTGGATTTTGCTCTGCAAACCACTCACAATATTGGAGCAGATCATGGTTCTTAGGGCATAGGGCCTGTCCTCCCCAGCCCCAGCTCAAGTGCTCCCAAAGTCTTTCCCCTGAACACCACAGGACACTGTCCTGCCTCCTGAAGGGCACAGAGATGGGAATGGGGACAGGAATGGAGATGGAGACAGGCACAGGGATGGGGATGGGGATGGGGCTGGAGATGGGGATGGGGGCAGGTATGGGGATAAGAATGAGGACTGGGATGGGGACAGGGATGAGGATGGGTAGATGGGAACATGCCCATGGCCTCGTGGCCAGCAACAGACACAGCCTGAGTCACTGGGAGGAGGACACTGGTCAGTGGATGTGCTGTAGAAAAGGGTGAAGCTGCCAAGTGGAAATTGGGAAACTTGGAGAAGGGAAGCACTGTAAGATAAGCCCTTACATTTCATATTTGTGCCTTATGCTTTATACATGCTTTAATATGTATATTTCCATTTGTGCTATGAATAAGAATAATAGAGTAATAGAATAATTTTCCCTAAAACTACTCCCTTATCACCTGTGCTTTCAGTAGCTGATGCACAAGCTGCCAGCATCACCTGCGCCATGCACAGCATGGAGACCCCAGCCCCAGCTTGGTGCTGGGTGCACCAGAACACCCAATTCTGACACTTTTTGGACAAATTAATGTTCTTCTGTCAGCAGTAATGATGCTGGGAACACAAAAACACTTTATGAAGCTCTCCCATTTTCCTGTACATGAACTAAATCTCTCCTAAGGTTATCATATTGTATCAGCACCCCATTTCCCAGTGGTTTGTGACCCTCTTCCAAAAAGGTTATCATTTCAATGGGAAATCACTTTGAGTTGTTGTTACTGGTTTTTTTTTACTGTCCTGATATAAACAGAACTGGAACCCAGATACAAAATAATATGATTTTCATCCTCCAATTTCTTTCTCCAGGCAATCAGCTTGTTTCTTTAATCCAAATTAGCTCTTCATATTCGAGTCTCACTTTATTTAATCTTCTTTTTCAATTAAATTCAATTGTCTGTGATCTTCTTAACTTCCTATGCTTCCCTGCATTGCTAATACAGACAAATTCTGCATTTGTTCCTTTCACTTCCCTTTTTTCTTTCAGTTTTCTTTTGTCCTGGTGATGTGCTGCTGAACAACAGCACTTCCTCTCCCTGATGCCAGAGCAACAGCACATCTCATCCATGCCATCCACACGTATGCAATGGCTGCTACACTGGAGGTGTTTGGAGGTGGAACACCTTTTCCACCAGACAAGCTCGTCTGACCCAATGTGGCACCAACACCAAAGGAGAAGAGGTGTCCCACTGCTTCTTGAGGAGTCCCAGGCAAGTCCCCAGATGTGGTTTGTTGGACAAGGGTGTATAAGGGATAAGATACGAGCTGGCTGCCTCTATGGAAAGATGTTGCTCTTTGCCTTCCTAGATGATAAATGGAAGTGTCTTATGTGAAGCATTATTTGAACCATTGGTTACCAGTACTGATGGACTTCAGGCAAGATGATGCTCCTGACGTCAGGTGTCCAATATATAAAGCACTGCGTGCTGAATGCATCACAGCACCTGCAGTAGAGCTGCAGGACAGCTCTGGACCATATCTACTTGTTCTTAAGAAACCCTTTTCTTTGGGGTGCTCCATGACAGACAGCACAGGAGCACAGCCACCATTCCACATCAGCTCCACACCTCCTGCAACCATACACCACCTACAGCCCCCAGGGATCCCCACAGCCAGATCCTACTCTCGAGTGCTCAGGGAAACTCTGACTATGACAAAAAGCTAGAAGCAACTCCCATGTGCATTTCAAAGACCAAAAGACCAGAAGGCAAAGAAACAAAGACCCCAGTTTTATTATTTTGAATAAGCAGAGTTTAATAGGAGAGCAGATGCTGTCCATAGTTTGCTGCCATCAGGGATCCCAGATTTCCAATAAGAAATTCATGGGGGAAGGAATCAGACATCACTTTGGTGGTTCACAGGGATGCATCCACAGTCAGATCCATACTCTGAGCCACCACACTGCACAGGGAGCAGGAAATTTGGATACGTTGTGTAAATCTCTGCAAAAACCGGGTCTGCATGGGAAGAACAGCCCATTCATTACTGCGGCACTAGTGGAAGTGCTGATAATTAGGAGGTTCTGGTGTTCTGGAAATCAAAGTGATTTCTATTCTTTTCTTTAATTAATTCAGGCTTTTATCTATGAAAGTGGAGATGAATCAAGGCTCTGCTCTAGGCAAGGAGCAGCAATGTGCTGTCCTGGGCATGGGGATCCTGCCACAAAGAGAGCTTGTTTGAACACTGTGGACCAAGTCATGTATTGCAGTTCACCCATAGAGATAATGAACCAACCCCAACACTGTAGGCGAGGAGCTGCCTGGAAATGATGCTCCTGAATGTAAAGCTCCTTTCAACTTCCCCGTTTCAGTCTCTGTGTTTTCTACTTTCCCTACTAGATGGCGCCTGCAGACAGGCAGCTCCGAGCTGAGCATTGCACCGGGTCCCCCACGAAGGGCTGATTGAGTTAATACATTTTTCTCCAAAAAGCCACGCAGCTGCCATAGCAATAGCCGGAGCAGAGCCGATTAGTGGCAGGAGTCCATTCTCTGGCAGCGCTGTGTTCATTAACTGCCTTCTCCCACTGACCTCTTCAAGAGGTGCCAGCAGCCTCTGGCTGAGGATGGAGGGCGACTCAAAACGGAGCAGGGGGGGGATGGTGGCAGCACTCCTTAAGCTACAAAGTGGTGCCAGAGATGAATTAAGGGGCACCTACAAGTGCCCAACAAGATGTGGGTTATCTTGTTTGGCTCTTCTAGTCCAGGCATCCCTCCCAGGTACCACTTGGGTGCACTAAGTAATGCTGCACCTCTGGATGGTTCACTCAGAGCAAAAAGGACACCTAGAGCAAAATGAAGAGTGTGTCCCTGAGCAATGTGCTCATCAATGCACGTGCCCCTGGTCCTGGAGGCAGGGAGCAGTGGAAGGGAGGATGAAGTGTGCATTACCTCCTGCACGTGGATTTGGTGAAGGTAGAAAAGTGAACAATACTTGGGGGACATAAAGGAAGAAAGAAAAAAAGAAGAAAAAAAAAAAGGAGAAAAGTTTACTGTTTTATGAAAAGGGAGCAAAGTCACAGAAGTCAGCGGATCTCAGCTCTTTGTGTTAAAGGGATGTCAGAGGAGCGGGTGCTGCTAAAGGCAGAGATGGGAACTCACTGCAGCAGCTCACGGAGGCTGCAGGAGCCCTGAGAGTAGAAAAGAACCGGCTAAAAGGTATTTCAGCAACTGAGGGAGAGAATGGCATTGACTGAGAGCTCTATAAATAAACTAAAAGGGCAGGAGAAAGACAAATGTGTCTTTTACATGATCATAGAATCATAGAATGGCCTGTGTTGAAAAGGACCACAATGATCATCTAGTTTCAACACCCCACCCAACCCCCACCCCCCCGCTATGTGCAGGGTCACCAACCACCAGACCAGACTGCCCAGAGCCACATCCAGCCTGGCCTTTAATGCCTCCAGGGATGGGACATCCACAACCTCCTTGGGCAACCTGTTCCAGTTATGATGCAGGACAGGTAACAAAATCCTGAAAGTCTGGCAGAGTTCAATGATTTCTTCTCTTGAATCCACACAGAACTCTGGCTGTGGCATGCCAGTCACATCACCAAGACACGCACGGGGCAGCTGGGCACCTTTATCAGCTGCTGGAGAGTCCAACAGCTCACATCATCACCTGTGCCACCATCCCGAGATCAGTTTGAAAAGCATCAGAGCGGCGGATAAAGCTATTCCCAAAGATGCTTTTGGAAAGAGCCTCCAGGGGAAGGGGCAGATGAGGTTCCAGAGGGGTCAGTGGTAAATCCCCGCGGCTCTGACCGCGTTATTGGCCCCCTGTCTCCCGGCAGCGTGTCACCGCGCTGCCGCAGGAAGCTCTGCGCCGTCGGGGCAAGGCCGCTTATCTGCCCCGCTCCCCGCTCACAGCCCCGCGAGCAGGTGCACAGCCCCTGATAGCACGGCCACGGCCGCACCGAGCCGCACCCTCCATTAAAACGAAACGCTCGCCGGCTCCGAAACGCCCGTATACGTGGAGAATTAAGAACTCCTGCCCCGAACGGGTCTCGCGTCCGCTGCGGTGCCCGGCGCTTAACCTCGGCGCGGGGCCCTCAGCTGGGACGGGGCCGGAGAGCGTGCGCTCCGCATCCCCCGCTGCCGTGCCGGGCTGCGACACGCCGAGCCGTGCCTCCTGGGCGTGCCGGGCCGGGCCACGCCGGGCCGGGCCGGGCAGGCCGATCTGCGCCGCCGGCGGCACATGGACAGGAGGGCGGAGCCTCGGGCTGACATCAGCGCGCCTCGCTCACCGCCAGCGGCCGCTCCGCTCGCCCTCCCGCTGCCCGCCCGGCGCAGAGGTGAGTGCGGCCGAGGGGCTGCGGCTGCGGGTCCCTGCGTGCGGCTGAGCTCGGCGGAGGGAGGGAGCGGCCCGGGGTCCGCGGGGCCTCTGCCGCTGTCGGTGCCGGAGGCGGGCGCCGGGTCGGGGCGGTGGGGCCGGGCTGGCGGCGTGGCGGGGCGGTGCGGTGCGGGGCGGTGCGGGGCCGGGGGCTGTGCGCGCACAGGCGTGGATGGGAGGGGAACGGGGCTGCTGGTGGCTGCCAGAGCGGGAGCTTTGCAAACGCTTCGTGGAGATGAATGACTTCTTCCGGCCCGGGAGAAATCGGGCTGTGAGGTATTAAAAGAGCCGGAGCCACGCGGGCCCGCAGGGGCGAGCAGCGGGAGGCTTCTGCTGCTTCAGTGCCCCTGGGGGTTCCTATAAGGAAATAGGGTCGGATGCGCTGCGCTCCATCTGCTCCGTGTCGCTGTGCCGCACCGTGACAGCTGTGACGGAGTTGGAGGGGTGACTTTGGAGCAGGGATGCCCCATTGGCAGGATGGTCTGGCACGGGCTGTCCCCGTACTCTGAGCCCGTCGGGTACAGCTGCGGGCAGAGCACCGGGAGCCCCTCAGCACCAGCCCAGCGCTGCGGGTAGAAGTGGTGCATTGGGAAAGTGCATCCCGGGGAGAGAAACCAGAGACAGCGAGAGGGGAACGTCGCTCCTCCGGTATCAGTGTTCCTGCAGGCTAAGGAGATGGAGGGCTAACAAGATTGAGCTACTTAAAATACTTCAGATTTTAAATCAGCCTTACATTTTCTCCTCTTTTAAAATCCCATTTGCTTTAAAACAAATGTACAGTAATGTAGGATCCAATACTCAGTGCACGGATTCGATTTCCTCCATAATTGTGGAGCTGAAAATGTTGGTGACTCAACAAGTCTTTGTTTAAAAAGAAAACGCAGCAAGCCCTAGGAAAACATGCTTCTTGAAAGCATAATTTGTGTTTGCTTTGCTTTTTACTTCTGTTTTTGTTTGGTTTGCTTTTTATTATTAGGAGCTCTGCTTTGGCTGCGACCTTGCAGCACTACACCCATCAATGAAAGCAGCTTTAGGTTCAGGGGAAACACATTTTTTCCGGTGGTGGAAGAAGTGGGGCAGTGGAGGAGCTCTGACGTGTGAGGGATGGCTGTGAGATGTTACATTATGGAATTGAAGCCCACCAATTTGTTATCCAGATGTTTACCATCGCTGATTACAATCAGGTTTCCTGTCAGTGTCACAGCAGAGGACAGATTTCCAAACTTTAAGTTACTGCTTCTCCATAGGGTCATTTCCCCTGTAGTGAACTGCAGGGTGCTTCCCATCTTCATCTAAGTGGAATATAGCTTATCTGAATGGATGAAATGGTTGGAAATCAGTGATGTGGGAGCCAACATGCCATCTTAAAAGCCCTTGGGTACTCTAGACCCCAAATCAGTGGAAGATTTTTAAAAATTTGGCCAAGGTTTCAGGAATTCCTGAGCTCCTTCCATCTTTTTCCAGGTGCTCAGACTTCCAGTAAGTCTGAAGCCTGGATTTGCTAACACTTGCATTTCAATTTAGTTCACAGAATCACAGAATGGCTTGGGTTGGAAAGGACCCCAAGGATCATGAATCTCCAACCCCCTGCCACATACAGGGCCTCTAACCTCCAAATTTAATACTAGACCAGGCTGCTCAGGGCCCCATCCCACCTGGCATTAAACACCTCCAGGGACAGGGCATCCACAACCTATCTGGGCAGCCTGTTCCAGAACCTCACCACTTTCATAGTGAAGAACTTATCCTTGATATCCACCCCTAAATCTTCCTTCCTTCCACTTAAAACCATTTCCTCTTGTCTTGCTACTGTCTACCCCTGTAAAGAGTTGAGTCGCCTCCTGTTTATAGGCTCCCTTTAGGTACTGAAAGGCTGCAGTAAGGTCAGCCTCCAGCCTTCTTTTCTCCAGGCTGAACAAACCCAGCTCTCTGAGCCTGTCTTCATAGTGGAGGTGCTCCAGCCCCCCGATCATCTTTGTGGCTCTCCTCTGGACCCTCTCCAACAGCTCCCTGGCTTTCTTGTATTAGAGGCCCCAGATCTGGACGCAGTACTCCAGATGTGGCAGAGTTGAGAGAGACAATCACCTCTGCAGCCTTTGCAAAAATGTCCTATGAGTTCCTCACAGACCATGGTCTGCCAATATGGGTCTGTAGATAATGCACCCGGAGCAGTGTGCTGATACCAACCACTGGCCATCACTAACAGGTACCTGCTTGAGTGAGGCAGCATCACTGAGCACCTTATTGACCAGATGGGAGGCAGCTGGGGCCCTGTGCACACCATGCATGCCTGGACCAGGTTTCTCTCATGCATCAGAACTCACCAGGCATTTGTTGTGTGCTGCTGCCTTAACCAGAGGTGTTTCCTCCACAGATACCTCTGTGCCCATTGCAGCTGCTCGGTAGAGAGGTGTGTCCGTGGCATAGTGCGGATGTGCCTGAAGGGCACACAATGTGTTCAGGCAAAGCAAAGGCTGCACTCACAAGGCAGCATGATCTCTGTAGGCACCGTCCTTCGTGCTCCTTTCCCTTTGAAGCTGCTTGCCCTCTTCTCTTGCTTTTCCTTCAGCTCCTCCCAGGTCAGTAACACCTCTTCCTCCTTTCCTTTTGGCTTCCGCACCCACCTGAAAGAGTGGGTGAAAATAAATGCAGATGTAAAACAACTTACTGAAACTGCACAGGCAGCAGTGATTCACAGCAGGATGTTAGCACTTCAGTGTCCCTAAGGAAAAAGTACCAAGGGATGATAGGCGAGACCCCACTTGCTTCTCCTGCCATAGCACAGGATAGGCTGTGCTCCCATAGCAGCAAGCTGGCACTGGCCTCATGCTGGAAGTGTTCTCTCCCCTCCACCCCAAACCATCCCCTGGGCTACCCTCTGCCCCACACGGCCCTGTGCATCCTCTGAGTTGCTGCAAGAAGCAAAACCAGAGGGCATGCTGATCTTGGAGGCCCTTCTAACAGGCAGCAGCAGCCAGCCCAAATATTTTCATGTGCAGGCAGTGCAATTCCTCTGCGTCCTTTCTGGAAAGAAAGAGGTTTTTTAACAGCAGGGTCTGGCAGCTCCCTGGGGGGCTGCTGTGCTCAGAGCACACCCTGCTGCTCTGCTGTAGGAAAGGGAGAGCTCAGAAGTGAGTGAGTCACCGTGAGGTAGTTGTTAGCATGGTAAGAGCAGCAAGCAAAGATCCCAGAAGAAAGGAATAGAAGCCATGCAGGATTCCGCTACAGCACTTAAAGTTGTGGTCTCTTGTTGACAAGTTGGAGAAATAAACTTCTTATTCAGAGTCACATCTCTCAGATAAAGTTGTGTGTGCTGTGTCAGCATCAGAACTGCTCCACCAACACCTCATGGTGCTTCAGGTTTGTGCTCCCCATGCCTTAGGGTGAGACCTCTAGGCTTCCCAAATCTCAGATTCCCAATTTATGAAGTGCTGCCCCAATCCAGGTCCCTGTCAGGCCTCTCCACACTGTATCAATTTGGCAGGCACCAGCAGAATGGTCTCTTGGTACACCAAAAATTTGTTTCCCAGTTTGATCAAGCCCCAACCAATACTGTGGATGGGTGATTTTTCTGCCCAGCATCAGTATTGCCTGTTTAACCTCACCAGGTGCCCATAGGCTGGTGCATTTCTATAGGAAAACTGTGGCCAAAATGTCTGAGTTGGTGTGGGAAAAGCAGAGCATGGAAAATTCTGGGAAAACCTCTGCTTTGCCCTGTTTTGAAACATGTTTTTGAGTTCTGGTCACGGTGAAGAATATCCTGTGGTCAGGGACGTGCCTTTGGCTTCCAAACCCAACATCCTCAGTATTAATCAATGATTAAACTGGAGGGAGTGTGTAGGTATGTAGCGGGGGGAGGGGGGGGGGGGCTGGCAGTTGCGTTGTCATCAGCAGGCAGTGGTGCAGGGAGGGAAGTGCTTGCTTTGTGGATGACATAGGGGAAATGTTTGAGAGAGGGGCTTATTAAAGAGGAGGACAAATTGGAGGAGAGGTCAGAAAGAGCAGAACATGCGCTGTGTCCCATGTTTGGACTGAGTGACCGCGTGGGCAGCAGGTGAGGGACCGGCCAGGCAGCACAGGGATGGGGTTAGGGGCACAGCACAGCAAGTCAACAGCGCTGCGTGGTTGTGCAAAAGCAAACAGTGTGCTGGGAGGTAGGAACAGGGAGAGGGATGAGGGTGAAGCACGGTGTGATGGTGGGCGCATGCTGCAGCACTGGGACCCCTCAGCAGCTCTGTTCCCACCATGTGGCCACAGACAGTCTCAGCACCCAGCAGTGTTGCCCCAGCAGTTGGGGAACCTGGAGCTGCTTCGGGGCTCTGCTGTTGGCATTTCCTCATTCTCACAGCCTGGCTGGCATCCTGGGGGAGGTTTGCGACATTGCTGTTTTGGCTGAAGCCATACAGACGGTTGGTTTATTGTTTTTGCTAGTTCCTGGTTTGCACTGCTGGGAAGCTAGTTCTGTCTGCTTCGGAAGGAGAAAAATGGAAACAGGTAGCAAGCCTGTTTTTTCTTTCTTCCCTCATCTGTGAGCTACCCACAGGGCAGACGTGTTATTTGCAGTCAGCCTGGACGAGACTGGGAGAACTCCAGAAGTGTGAGCAGAGCTGAGATTGACTGGCTTTGGATAAGCCCTTTTCTTACTTAAATCTGTGCCAATCTCAGCAGGTACGTGGTACCGGCTGTGCATTTTGGAGGACCTCTCTGGGTACGGCAGAGACTTATGTGCTTTATTTCCCCTGGAAACAAAACAACTGTAGCCAAGACATGAATATTTCTATGCACAGCAAGACCTGAACAGAGACTTCAGGTGCTGAATGCATCCCTCCAGCCGCGACTTCTTGGTGCATCAACTCCATGGAGCGCACCAGGCTCTGCAGACAGGAGCTGCATGACTTCAGCATCATGGTCAGCAAGGGAAGTGCGAAGGTCCTTGCATGCAGATAGATGGCCTGGGGGCAGAGATCATCCCCATCCCTAGAATATGGGGAACACCATACTCCGTAGCATACAGGAACTGTCTTGGAGCAGACAGTGGGACATTTCCCTCATTCCACCCTGGTACCCATCAGGAGATGCAGATAATCTTGCCTTCTATCTCAGATAACTCCCAACGCCGAAACTGAAGCCCTGATGTGGCTCTGTAAGGACATGCACCGCAGCTACTCAAGACTCAGGTGTGGTCAGTCTAACCAAAACCTGACCCCAGGGGAAGACGCAGAAGTGGTTACTCTAACCAAGGTACTGCCTTCTAAGTCTGTATGTGAGCTGAGCTCACAGATGAGGTTTTTGGACAAACAGGAGCCAGTTTCATTGTGCTGCACAGCACCATGGCAAGGAGCTCCTTATGAGATTGCTGCCATGTTCTGCAACACAGTTTGACTCAGATATACTTAAGAAACTTCTGTTAACTGGAGCTATTACAAAACCAACTTGTCTTTAGTGATAGGACAAAGGGGAATGGCTTTAAATTAAGACAGGAGAGGTTTAGGTTAGATATTAAGGAGAAATTTTTTCACTCAGAGGATGGTGAAGCACTGGAAAAGGTTGCCCAAGGAGGTTGTGGATGCTCCATCCCTGGAGGCATTCAAGGCCAGGCTGGATGAAGTTCTGGGCAGCCTGGTCTGGTGGTTGGAGACCCTGCACATAGCAGGGGGGCTGAAACTAGATGATCATTGTGGTCCTTTTCAACCCAGGCCATTCTGTGATTTTATCTGATAAACCTAAATACTAAGGCAGGCAAATGGATCTTGATTTATTTTTTTTTTTGTCCAGAACTGAAGCAGATCGCATGCCTTGCCTCAGTACGGGCAGCCTCGTTCAGGGTTTACATGCCAAGTGCTGACTGTGGGTTACAGGAACCACGAGGCTGTAGTCCCCTGCCCAGAATAACCGATAGGGTCCTGTAAAGATGGTCTCGTTGTTAAACAAGTGGTCAGGGATATCTGGGTCTTCCCAGGCAAACTTGCTGGAGCCCCGTTATCGCTGGTATCTCAGTCCCCCTGTCTGTGGAAGGAGGATAACGATGGCACCAGCTTCCCAGATAATGCAGTGGGGCATTATCTGAGTGCAGATTGACAGTGCAGGGAGTGCAGCCACACCTGGAGGGGCTCCTGCAGCAGCTCAGCCCAGAACGGCCGTCCTGTTGGAAAGCACTCTGAAAGCTGTGTTTGCCTGGCACCCAGCCTAAGCTAACAGCCTGCCAAGCCTCAGGTGCAAAACATGTAGAGTTATCCCTGCTTTTCTTCTGCAGAGCCCTCCCACCCTCTCCTGTGCAGCAGAGATTTGACTGCTTCAGTTCACCCAGCTTTTGTCTGTCTGATCCCATTCTGCCTTCTGTCCTGTTTTGGCGCCAGGCGGAGTGGAGCTCCTGATGTTGCTCACTGCTATTGTACTGCAAATAATACAGCCACTGAGATGCAATAGGTGAACCACACACAACACTCTGGATGTGGGCACAGCATCCCCATGCAGTGATATAAGGGTGTCATTAGCCATCAGTCTGTAGGGCAGCTTCACATTGCACTTGGTATTTAATTATGGAACTGCTGCCCGGTTAGGATTGAAGCTAGTTTACTTCCATTGTGCTGGGCTTTAAATCATCATGCAGCTTCCTTGCTGCTCTGAACTTCGTGTGATGTAACTCAGCAGGGGTACAGTTTCCTTGACAGAGAAGATCAATAAATGAGGTTTATCCAAGACTGCAGTGCTCACGCTGTGTCTGGCCTCTGCAGCCTTCCCTGTGCTGGTGGCTGCTCTGCCTCAAGGTGACATGGCAGTAGCATGGCCCCCTGGAGGGGCTGGTGGGGCCATGGGGAACAAGTGGATGCCCTGGCCCTGGACGTACCCAAGTTGAGGCTGGCTGGGGCTCTGAGCACCTGATGGAAATGTAGGTGTCCCTGCTTATTGCAGGAGGGCTGGACCAGACGGTCTTTAAGGGTCTCTTCCAATGCAAAAGATTCCATGATTCTATGAAGTCCTGTCACCCTGAGCATTGCTTCCTGTTCCAGTGGCCAGGCGCCAGAGACATCTCTTTGTTGTAGGACAACATTTCATGCATGCAGGTTGCTGAAAAGCAGAGGGTTGCTTAGGCAGGAGAGGTGGTTAAGCTAAACAATAATGTGGGCCCCATAACAAATTGTGGGCATGAATACACCTAGGTGGAGCAAGGACGTTTCTTAAAAGTAAAGAAACGAGTTTTCGATAAAGTACGTGATAAGCAGGGGCCAAAAAAGAAAACCCAACATCTCTTCAGACAGAGCTGGAGTATTTACAGCAGGGTTTTGCAGCCTGGCTCTTCAGCCTGGCTGGGATGAGGACACAAGGCTTGGCGTGGACCTGAGCTCCACCTCTGGGCTTGCTGCTCACTTCAGGAAATTCCAAGTGATCTCATCTCCAACCTCACCTGTGTGCTTCTGTTTTGTGTTCAATGTATGTGTTTATAGTGCTATACTCACTTTGTTTTGCAGCGACTGAGATCTGTATGGCCTATACTTACTGCAGGGGTGTGTGCAAGAGTAGCAGCCTTGAACTAGACCATTGACACAGGTGCAGAACAAAGTCAGCCTTTGTGCACACAAGCCCTTCCACAGATATGGAGCAGAAGCAGAAACCTTGAGGGTGAAATCTGAGTAATTCTCTCTTACCAAGCCCATGAGAGGAAGCTGCATGATATGAGTTACAGCTCATTAAAGTGTACTCATAGCACTTATGCCCATACGCAGCCCTTGGCATGTGCCAGTAGTGAGTTTTGGTGCTCAGGCACTTTGCATGAGGATTGCAAATTGCTTGCAATGAAGATTGGCTGTCCTAAACAGTTATCACACCCAAGCTTGATCTGCTCTTTGTCTTTCCCAAATCCTTTATGAGCATGTTGGAAAAATACAGATCTGTGGGGAAACCCCATGACAGCCCATTCCCATTATGAAAATTACTTATTCTTACCCTTTGTTTCTCATTGGTAACTATTCATGCAGAAGTGCCCTTCCCTTTTGCACCATTATTGCTCCAATCCCAGAAAAGCATTGGATAAAGAGCATTTCCAAAAGCCTATGATAAACAAAGCCCAGTGACCAGGTCACCTTGTCCAAGCGGTCACCCTCACTTTCAAAGAACTGTGCCAGCTATAAAGCAAGACTGTACTGCAAAAGACTGTCTCTTTTGCAAATGTATCACGAGTCTGTTAGTTCTGGTCTTTACTACTATTTCTCCCAGTGTGCCCAAATCAGAAGTCAGGTGTGCTGGTGTGACTCCTGAGCACTTTAAAAGTCTGGTGTCCCTTTGGCCATCTGCATTTTTTTAGGCATGTTTGAGCTGTAGGTGACACATCATGGGAACAGCCTGGCAGTTCCCTGATTGAGCTTCTCCAGATCTCCAGACCTCCAGGCTCAGCTGGTGTGATGCTGTTCATTTTGTTGATTTGCTTAAAGCCTCTTCATGGCCTCAATATCTAATCTGCTATGGAGAGCAGAGTGTTACAGGGCAAAATTCATTAATGTTTGTAAAGCTCATCAAGATCATCCATGAGCAAATCCCATCATATTTTAATACTTTTTTTTTTTTTAATGTCACAAGGAAGTTCTCCATGTTCATTGAATAAATGAAACAAATGGACCCAAATATTGGAACAGGCAAAAGCCACAGCTCTCTTCATTTACCACTTGGAGGACACTTTAATTCCACCTCAAACTCCCTGCTTTGATGCTGCTCCCACAAATCAAAAGAAACCCCCAGCTCTCTCAGTTGTGCGCCCAGAGATTCCCACGGACACCAGGGCTTTTCAAAAGATCTACCCTGGTCCTACACAGCTCCAAGAGTTCCCATTGCTGGCAGCTGTGAGAATTGATCTGGCTTTGCAGCATGAGATGCAAGTAAGAACATCATAGGATGGCTGAGTGCAGGTGTTTGATCGCCCAAACTGGGGAAACTTGTCCCTAAAACCATTTCTGTGTTGATGTCATCCACGGTGGCTGGATGTTACTGCACTCATGCTGGTGGGTTTAGTAGATGAGTCTGGGCTACAGGACCCAGAGCTGTACATCTACAGTTAGGCATCAGGGAATTCCCTCTTTCCCAAAACCTCATGCACTTCTATTCATGCGTCGTAAGTGGCATTTTCCTCATGACTGCAGATGTGATCTGAATTTCTGCAAGAGCTTTGCAATGAACTTGCATTTCCCCTTGTTTTTCCTGCCAGGATGCCTGGAGGAGACATGGCCAAGCCCCTCCTTGGCCACAGGAGCACAGAGGGTGATCCTAGCGTGGTGCCTGCAGCTGGACGCACCATCGGCGTGCTGGGGAGCGGGGACTTTGCGCGTTCGTTGGCCATCCGTCTGGTGTGCTCTGGCTTCAAGGTGGTGGTGGGCAGCCGCAACCCAAAGCGCAAAGCCTGCCTCTTCCCTTCTGCAGCAGAGGTCACCTTCCAGGCTGAGGCAGTGAAGAAGACGGATGTCATTTTTGTGGCGGTTTTCAGGGAACATTACTCCACGCTCTGTGACCTGGCTGATGTGCTGGCGGGAAAGATCCTGGTGGATGTCAGTAACAACACTGAAATCAACCACCACAAAGAATCCAACGCTGAATACTTGGCCTCTCTGTTCCCAGCCTGCACTGTGGTCAAGGGCTTTAATGTGGTTTCTGCGTGGACGCTGCAGTCTGGTGCCAGGGATGGCAATAAGCAGGTATACTGCTTTCTTCTGATAAGTGCCACATCTCAACTGTTTCAGCAGCTGAGGTCTGACATCAGTAAATGGCCTTAGGCACACAGAGAAGGGGCATCAGTACTGGTTTGGCATCCAGAAACCATCACACAGCTTGCACATTTCTTTGATCAGAAAAGAAATACACTGCTTACTCCATACCTTATAGTCCCTGGAGTCACTGTGTAAGTGAAAAACATCATTTAATTGTCTCTCTATCTAAACACAGCCAGTAAAGCAAACTGGTGGTATGCATAAGAAAGAAAACCTGTCCAGGATAGAGATCTTTGGCAACCACAGTAAATCCCCATCAGAAAGTCTGCCAAAACACATGATGATCCATGATAATGTAGGCTTCCTTTAGTGCAGCATCCCTCCTGCCACACTCGTTCCCACCACGTGATCTCTTTGCCCAATACGTATCTTTCCATTTATTGCAGGTTCTAATCTGCTCCAATAGCCAAGAAGCCAAGCGTACTGTGGCAGAAATTGCTCAGGTAATGGGCTTCACCCCTGTGGACATGGGCTGCATGTCCTCAGCCTGCGAGATTGAGAACATTCCCCTGCGCCTTTTGCCAGCCTGGAAAATCCCCATCTTTTTGGCTCTGGGGCTTTTTCTTTGCTTTTTCACTTACAACCTGGTGCGGCAGGTCATCCACCCTTACATCAGGGAGCAGAAGAATAAGTTTTATAAGATCCCTGTCGAGGTGGTCAACACTACGCTGCCGTGCGTGGCCTACGTCATGCTGTCTCTGGTCTACCTCCCTGGTGTGCTGGCAGCCTGCTCGCAGCTCTACTACGGCACCAAATACAGGCGCTTTCCAGACTGGCTTGACCAGTGGCTGCAACACAGAAAGCAGATCGGCCTCCTCAGCTTCTTCTGTGCAGCCCTGCACGCCGTGTACAGCCTGTGCCTGCCCATGCGCCGCTCCCACCGCTACCAGCTGATTGAGACAGCCGTCAAGCAGGTAATGTTGGCACCCTTCGGGTGGCACCTGTGATGATCTTGCAGGCACATTCAGAAGTTGGGTAGGAGGGCTTCATGTCCTTTGCATTTGCTTTCCAAAGGATTTGTTTAAATAGGAGGTATGTCCTCATCACAGCGCACTTCTAGTGCTGTAACAAAACAATGCTGAAGTCTAGGCCATAGTCTAGGGGAACAAGGAAATGGGAAAGTACCCTACTGCCCTATCGAAGCTTTCAGCAATGTTTATCCAGAGATTATATCCCGAGATTGCTACACCTTCAGGCAATTCAGCTCAGCAGCGCCACAGAAGAATGTGATTCTGCCATCTTTTGTCCCTGCTGTTCTTGCTGCTCTTCCCTGCCTCCTCCTGGGATGGTGCAAGAAGCTCTGTGCATCCCAGAGGTGAACCAGATCAAGGACTTGCCCCCAAACTTGTCTGCTTTCTGTGCTGGGATGTTTCCCAAGTGCTTCTCACTGTAGCCACCCAAACACTTTGTCCAAGCACAGAGGCATGGAGGCAGCTGGGAGCAGGACAACTGGTTTTGGAAGCAGGGCCTGCTCAAAGCATCCACCAGATATTTCAGTTCCAGACTGGCACAGCCCCTTTTCAATTGCTACAGTCACACATTAATCTCGGTCAAGCATCCTGTGTCCATTTCCCCTCTACGTCCTGTTTTCTAGCAACATCTTTGTTTAGTAAATTAAGCCCATTTAATGGGCTAAAGAAGATGGTTCTAAATGTTGTTCGCTGCCATGAGGCATAAAACCCATCTTCCTTTCCATTAGCATGAACAATTTCCCCCATTAAATGCACTTAAAATGAAGGTTATTAGGAGACTACTGCATATTCAAGCATGTGTATTTGTTTTCATGGCTTTAAACTGACTTCTCATTCCAATTATCTTTCCAAATGCAACTCTGGGGCTTGCTGCTGTGGTTACAGGCTATGGGAGCTGTGAGCATCAAGCAGTTCTTCCCAGCAGGCTGCAGGTCTGATCCAACTGGGAAAATGGCAGTGGCACCTGCCACAGGCAGAGGCCAGTGGCAGCAGGAACCAGTGTTCATCCAGGAAATCTTCTTCCAAAACCAAAGTGAATACACATAAAATTCAATTCCTCTATTCCTACGTGCTCCGTTTTAACAAAACTTCATTGTCATGCCAGGCTATGGAGAAGAAGATGAATATCTGGGTAGAGGAGGAAGTCTGGAGGATGGAGATTTATATCTCTGTTGGAATAATTGCCCTGGGCTTGCTGTCGTTACTTGCCATCACCTCACTTCCATCTATTGCAAACTCTCTCAACTGGAGGGAATTCAGTTTCATCCAGGTAAGGTTGACATGTGACAATGCCCGAGAGTGGTTCTGCAGTCAGCCGGTGTTACAGGCACTCTGCCACTCACCATAGAGGACATCCCAGGGCAGTGGGACAGTGGTGCTTCCAGGGAGTCATGCAGGACTCGCGTGCTCTGCTGTGGGTGCTGTGTCTCAGGGAAAGGAAAACGTAATGCATCATGTGCATCCACGTGGAGCTTAGTGGCAAGCTTTGCATGAATGAGTCTTTAATGTGCTGGTGGAATTTCTTTCTCACCGTGCTTTTAACAGTGCTAGCTAGAGATCCTAAGAAGAACCAGCATGGGTTTGCCTGTGTGATGCCCCCTGCAAAATTCTCTGGGATTTTTCCTCCTCACATTGTGCCCATGAGCAGTGCTGCATTCACTCCTGAAGTCATACAAGGTAGAACACTTTGCAGACATTTAGAGAAGAGAGGATTATTCCCTTCTGTATGTGAATTGCTAAGTCAGGGTCTGAACCAATGATGGAGCACCTGGTGAAGGGACGCAGCCAGCCTTTGGAGCACAGGTGAATTGCTTCCACCTGTGCAACCAGAAGGGATGGAACCAGGTTCCTCCCCTTCCTAAGCTTCATTTAAGGGCTGGCTGCCACACAGAAAGGATCTCTATCTGGAGATCTCTCATTTTGGAGTATTTGGTAAGCCCTGATTTTTGGGATAGGTGAACGAATGTTTTTTTTCTTTAACTGGATTGTATCCATTACCTTTTTTTGAGTAATTCAGAATTTGTTATCTGTTATCATTTTTCTCCATGCCTTCTGTATCGTGGAGATGCTGTGGCGAGTTTGCAGCAGGCTGCAGGTGGCAGATGGATAACCCATGGGGACAGCCAGTGCAGAACACAGATCTGAATGATCAGTAAAGGGCATGTCTTCTAAAAAATGGGTTAGGAGTGTCTGGATAGCTTTTCTTTCTCTCAGGTTTCCTAGTGGTTTGGGAGTCCTCCTTCCACTTGCAGGGATGTCCAGGCTTATGAGGTCAGATCTCCGTAGTGACCCATGTAGGGATCCCAAACCCTCAACCCAAGGGCTGCCACTCTCGGTAATACATACAGAGCAAGGCTTCAGGTTAACAGGGACAGCAAGGAAAAAACTTCAAGTAGTCTCTGCACCTTCAGAGCTCATTTTAAGACCTAATTTCCTGAAGGACACTCACCTGTCATATCACATAATCCTGAAACCCATCATTAACTGTGCTTCCTACATGGCTGCAGCTTAGCTTGCAGTAGGCTCCCAGTGATGCTGTAGTGCCACCCAGCACGCACAAACCCCACAGGTTCCCCCCTCCCCCCCCATACCTCCTCTGCAGAGCCCCTCTGTACACTCAGAGGTTGGAGTATGTAGAGTTAGGGTGTGCAAAGGTGGATATCCATCATTCATTCTCCCTTGCTGAAGCTCTTCAGCTGCACATAAATAATTCAATATTCATTAGAGCAGGAGTTTGAAGCCTGCTCTCCCACAGGTGCCCTGATCTCCAACTAGTAAGTCAGTTAGTTCATCTCTTTTTTTCTCCTCTCTTGCTGTGAACTGTTGAGTAATTATTTACAATGCATAAAGAAGCCTCACCTGGAGAGCCTGACCTCAAGAGACTGTCCCTTGGGGAGAAGGGAGATCTGGCTTCAAATCTCTTTCTTAACAGACAGCAGTAGCAAATTAATTCTCAGCACCACATTTCAGGGGTGCACTGCAGCCACTGGGACATTGGATAAACTTCCGTCCTGGCTTAGGCATTTCATACCAGGAGTCTGAGATGAAGGGAAATAATTCCTTATAGCCTGGAATGTGGCTCTGAAACTCCCTGCATCTCCCTCTGTCTCCCTAAACAGCTCTCTGGTGGGTGCTGCTGTTGTGTTATGCAACATGTATGGTATCTTCTGCCAGCACACATTCCACAACTGTCTCTTCTGCCCTTTGCCATCTTTCCCTGGGTCTTTCCAATGATATGTCAACTCTGGCACTGGTACGTGATGCTCTGCTCCAAATAAGCTCCTGGCTGCCCCAGGCAGTCACTGGCTGGCTTAGAGCATGGAAAAATCACTCCTACCTATTTCTGTGGATTGTAGCACACGCTGCTGATGACAGTGGCAATGTGCCCGAGGAGAGGATTAGAGGCTTTTGTCATGTTAGCTTCCAGGCCGGGCATTGCTTGTTTTTTTAATGAGGAATGTTTTAGAGGAGTTTCTTCAATAAGTTGTTGATGCCAACTTGAGGAAATGAGTAGCAGATATATCTGCTGTTCCCAGGTGCTAGAGGGTAACATTTACATACAGCAACTCAACTCTCCCTAAATTAATGCACAGTGACACTGTAATGTAAATACAAGGGGTGAAGAACAAGGCTGTACTCTCAAGCCCTGGGGATGTCCGACACTTGAACCGACTACAGTGCATGAGAGGCACTGTGGCTAGTTGTGAAAAAGGAAAGATCCGGAAAATACAAAGCACAGCAGTCCCTGCTGAGTATCTCCCCAAAGCTGCAGCCATTTGCTGCCATTTCTGTTGAGGTAGCTGCTGTGTTTGAGAGGGGTTGCACTCACATTTGAGTGAGGGCTGGGGCTTGCTAAAAGCCAGGAACCACTCTGATCCACTCCTTACCTGGAGTTTCCCATGCCTTGCATTTTCCAACAACACTGTGGGTGCCTCTCAGCACCATGGGGTATTGCCATTATCTTAAAATACACATCTGTTGCTTAACAGGCCAAAAATAACACTTGGGTTGTTGCTAAAGATTTAGAACATAGATGATTTTCAGCTAGCAAATACAGCTGGGTTGAATATACAGTTTCCCTCCATATCCTGTTTTGACTAATAGAAAATATACAGGATCTAAGGCACTAGATAACAGGAACAATTCAGATGCAATTCAACTTACAAGGGAGATTCTTAATGTTCCCTAGTGACTTACAAATCAAATCTAATTGGTGGAGAAGTGAAAATGCGTATGATTCCTTTTATCTCTCCACCCTGAAAAATTCTCTTGGAATTTGAAGGTTGGGTTGACCTGATTTCCTTCTTAGCTCACACACTGCAGGATGCAAAGAATCTGTCATCAGGTGCCTGTAGCCCTCCTGATGATGAAGTGAGAGCCAGCTTCCACATAGTTAACAACTCTACAGGACTAATGGCAGCAGAAGTCAGAAACCTGAATGTGTTAGGAAGGTGCCTTTTGCCTTGGATGCTGCACAGGCATTTATAAAAGACAGAGTCACCTTCACTGATGCATTGCAGCACATCTCCTGGACACTGAAGAGAGGTGGGAGAGAGAAAAATCAATCCAGAATGGGCAATGCAAGCTAAACCTGCATTAGAAAGATCCCATCTTCATAGAGCCATCTCTCAGGGGGCTTTACCACCTTATCTTGGCAGCAGCCCTGCACTCCCCATGCTGTGACAGTGTAAAAGCCCTGCTGACCACAGGGAGCCCTGGTTTGTGTCATTGCTCTGCTCTGTGGAGCTGCCAGCACTGTGTCCAGCTGCCATCTGCTCACCTGCACATTTATTGCTAATTAGCTCTTTGTTCTGTGTGCCCTGCTACTGTGCACAAAGGTGGGTCACTGCACAGCTCTGATGTTCGGTCGTCTTTTGTCCTACTAATTTCCACTTCTGCTTTTCCCTGGTGCCAGCAGCAGTTGAAAGAGGAACTGTAGAGGAACAAACTAATTATCTCTAGCTCTGACACCTCTGCCATCCATGGAACCCCATGTGGACTGTACCTGAAGGCACCTTGCACCCACTGCCAAAAGCACCTGCTGCCCTCAGCCATCACTCCTCACCTTCTCCCCAGCCCTGCCTTACAGCTGTGCTCTGCAGATCAGCCTCCTGCTGGCACCTCTGGCCTCCTCCCATCTAGGGATGTTCTGCCTGTTGGAGGGGAGCTAAGATTTGATAAATTATGGGTGAGCCATGGATTGGTGCCCACTGTTAAGAGCATTATCTCCTTCAGCTGCATGGTGTATCCCAGCAAACACCTTCATTTGCCAAGATAAGTAAATTTTGACCCCATTTGGGCTTGCTTTGGGCTGAGGAATCAGATATGGCTTTCAGGTGGATGTGAGCTTCAGCTGAGGGGGCTGTTGGTGGCTCTGGGAATGACCTTGAGTGGTGCTGGTGCAACTCAGAGACAAGAGCTCTCTAACTTGGCAGGGCTTACAGACACCCTCATGATGGCTGGAGAGGAGCTATAAAAGTGAAGTGCATAGATATGGGGCATACTTTTGAGATCTTTCCTTGTCTGCTCAGTCCTCTCAGATGTTTCAGTAATTCAAGTAATTACTTGAATTCAGTAATTCAAGTAAATCCTCTTGAATTAATTCAAGAGGAGCCTTGATCTAGCTTGTTGTTAATGATACAGTACACATTAAAAAGTTATCTGGGTTTTAAAATGGTTTGTCAGCCATCAAAACCAAGAGATGTTCTGAAGGAAGTAGTTGTCCAGTTGTCAATGTGGATGATCATGTACTACACCCATACTTTTCATTGAAAATACAGCTGGTGGCCCTTGAGGAGGGATTGTGCCTGTGATGAGCTCAGAGACCCAACCTCTGAGGCAGGTAGGAAACCACCAGCAAGGGGACTGTAGTTTAAAATCCTCCTTGAAAACAATCTTCAGCATTCTTGGAATATTCAGGCAAAATGTTGTCTCTATGGATGCTTGGGAGCCACAGTCTCAGCTGAATATGGGGCACGTTCTGGTTTGCAGAGCAAGGCTACATCCTTGCTGCCTCCCTCAATGGACAAAGGGCTCCTGACTCCCCATTCCAAGGACTTAGTCCATTGTATATCCTCATCTTGGCACACTGCAGTTTTCCTGTAGGTGACACCCGGTTTGCAGTTGCGTTTTATTCTATCAGAGAGGCACAGGAATATTCACTGCTTTCTCTGTGCTGCATATTCTTACAGGGGAAAACAGGCATGAGGTCTGCTGACTGCTTTGTGTTTCTCTTCCTTTTAGTCTACGCTGGGATTTATTGCCTTGGTCATCAGCACCCTGCACACCCTCACATATGGCTGGTCAAGGGCCTTTGATGAGAACCAATACAAGTTCTACCTGCCTCCCACCTACACTCTCACGCTGCTTGTCCCATGTACTGTGATCCTAGCAAAAGTTGCCTTCAGTTTGCCCTGCATTCAGCAGAGACTCGTGCGAATCAGAAGAGGCTGGGAGAAGGGGAGGTACGTCAAGTTTGTCCTGCCCAGTGCAACAGGGGAGTATTCAAGTGGGGAGACCTCTAGCAACGTCTGATGGAACCTCAGGGGTGACAGAGGATTTCAAAGCACTATCAACATTTCTATAAAGGTGTTCCTTTTTCTTAAATGTATGTATGTTTTAGTATAATTATATTGTGGGTAAATAATAAAATCTGGTGACTTTAGAAAATGGGCTACTATGAAAGTAGTTCAGGCAGTGGTATTTAAATTATATTGCTGGTTTGCTAGGACAAATATTGCCTTAAAAATCACTGTGAAAGCTGAGCTAGCAACACCAATATACAGGGAGAAGTGATGGATTCTGTCACTGGGGGTGCTAGTTGGCAGATCTACAGCAGTGCTTCTCTGTTGCTTCCTTATTATCCACTCTCATGAATGTCAATGTTTTTGTTCTTTTTTTTTTTTTTACATATGAAGAAGCACAGATTTTCTGGGCTTTTTGATGGCAAAGACATCCTGCTTCTTGAGCATCTGGATCAACCTAAGCAGTGAGCTTTAGAAATACAACTTGTCCCTGGCTTTGGTCTCTTTAATGAAGTAACCACATAAGCAGAACAATATCCCTCTTATGTACTGTCTGCACATTTTAGTAAAGGTATCCAAACCTGACAGCAAATCCAAGTATCTGCTTTCTCAAATACAGACAGCAGATCTGGACTTGTAGGCTCTACCTGGTGCACATTTATAGGCTGCTGAAATAAACCATCTTTGCTATCAGAGTGAAAGCTTTTGAAGAGAGGAATGTCCCTAACACCCACACTTCCTGTCTGCACTGCTGTCTCTGAGACAACAACTACTGCTGCTGCATGTTCTCTGTTTTACTAAATCCATTTCAGGCAGTATTTGGTGGAAATAGAGTGAAAAAGAAAAATGTGCCATTTCACAAAGAAAACCAAAGCCCTACATCAAATAATAGTTTGAAGCTCTTAGAAATCATTGTCACCTGAACATGCGTGCTTAGATAACAAAACAGCACCTCTAAAACTACTGGCTTCACCAGCAGTGATAAGGTCTTTGAACTGTCTTGCAAAGAGACTGGTGAGTCTTGATCACAGCATGAGAATACAGGAATTGTGCATGTGGGGCACCATCCTGCACCGCCTTGCACCTTAGAAAGTCACTTACTACCACAAAAGCATGTATCAAATGCTTTTCTTCTGACTTCACACACACTTTGGATGAGGTCCAGGGCAAGAATTCTGCCCTACTTTCCTTTGCTACCTTTTACTTTCTGTTCCTTCAAGCTCTTGCTCTTTATCAGAATTGTTATTTAGATTTTGGAGATCCAAGTCACCCATATAGAGAATGGACAGCCATTTGCAAAAGCTCACTTAAAAGCAAGCAATTGAGATGACACAAAGAAGACTACCTCAGCAAGACCAGACACAAGGACATGGGTGGGATAGCCTAATTTCTTTGCAGTTAAGTAAAAGGCACTGCTCAGCATTCCACTTTGCTTTGAAAAATGTCATCAATTAGGTTTTATTTGTGGGACCAAAAAGCATCTTTTAAAAGACCAGTTAGTACAAATGAGAAAACATGGATCAACTTTTGTGCACATAAGCCCTTCTATGAGCCAATACTGCTCTTGTAAACTGGATGATTTGTAGGAAGATGAACTTCAGAATTCCCTGTTTAGCCTTTAATGACAACAGTGTGTAATACTCTGCAAGTAGTGCTCAAGCTGCCAGTAATGATATCGAGGGGTTTTAGGTTTTGCATAAGGCTTACAGTAAAGTCTCCAACCACCACCTCTTTTCACTAAGAAAAAGGAAATCAACATTGAGGGTAATGCCAAGTTTGCATAATCAGCTGATTGTTGTGGTGTTTTTTTTTTTTGCAACACCAAAGGGAAGGGGCACTGTGAAAGTGTCCCTTTCAGAAAGCTGCTGTTATTCAGGTTTCCCCCTCCACCTCCACAGCCTCACCCAGATCAGCATCTCATCAAATCACTCACCAAGCAGATTGATTGTGCAGCACTATTTAGTTGTGGATGAATGGTAGGCTAAGTTTCCACATGGATTTGATGCGCTTCCACATGAGTACAATTCCACCCACTCCAACATAACTCATGCTTGAGGGAAAATGGGATTCAGCAAACTTCTGCTTTCATCAAGTAAAGTCAACATAAAAGCACAAGTAGGCACATTTTATGTTTACAATACAGTATTCCAATGTCTTTTTTTTTTTTTTAAGCTAAGCTTTTCACATCCTTAGGTCAAGCAAGACAACTGCCAGTTGGCCAAACATAGAACAGGAAGGAACAAACATTACACAGGCTTGCAGGCTTTGTATTCAAAGGGGAAGGTGTGATTTCATTGTGGGATGCTTCAAGGCTAAAAGACTCCCCATTTTGCCCAGCAGAACAAGGGTTGCACTCTCGCTTTATATACACAACTTTCACACCCACATGTCCTTCCTATTGACGGCAAAGGGACAATTTTCACAAGCAGAAGTAGAGCTGGGCACTGGATATACTCATGAAGCAGCACAGTTCTTTCCAGTTTGATGCCAACCTGTGACATGAGCCAACTCAACATCCCCACAGCATCTATAAAAAGATCCATCACACTGCTCCAGGTAATGCCTGTGCCAACATAATGGACAGCCAGTCACTGTATCTTTTGAAGACTGAAACCAATTCCTCTAAACACAGAACCACGTTTCAGATGGTGCCCTTTGTACACATCTGGTCTCTAAAACCTTTGACATGGGAGTTTGGATCATTTATTCTGATTCCAGAATACTGAAAAGTAATTTGAGGTGGTTTTGAATGCTCATTTCCCTACACAATTTTGTGGAGAGGGGGTTCAGTGTGGTTAGCTTAAAATTTCTCAATGAATTGTTTTTATATTTAGAAATTCTCTGCATATATGCACACACACAAACGTATATATTATTGCAGAGTATGTAGCTGGAATGTAAATTCTTATGTTTTTATTTTCTGTATTGCCTACAGTATGCTTCTGTGATTTGTAAGAACCAATGAAGAGCTGTAAGGCTGGTTTTACTGACTTCTGTAGTTACATAAAAGATATTCTGAACAGGTCTATAAAACTGAACTCATTTGGATATTTTCACACCCTCCAACTAAACAACACCATTATTTCAATGGCAGAGAGTAAGGGGAGTATGTGCAATGTAACAACCCAGAGATAAAACACACCAGCAGGTAGGTTCTTGCTATCAAGCTAAGTGAAGATGATCCTTGCTGTGACCCAGCGTGCCAAGGTCTGTATTACAGAGCTGCTATGCACATGGGAGGCCACAAGTGCATCAGACACAAGGCTAGAGGTACTACACAGCAATTGCAGGACTGGAACAAAAATAGCTTCATTCAGTAAACTGAAAGTGCCGTTGATAAAGAGTTCAAGGAAGAGGGAGATCCCAATGAGGTTTATGGGACTGGAAAGAAAAAAAAGGAGTTTTAACGCTATCATTTTGTTCTCTGTTTCTTAAATCACTTCCTCACAGAAGTGGGACGCCAGATCAACCAACTTCTGGATCTGCAGCATTGCATTTTAATGAGCTAATTTGTAAGTTGATTTTAATGAGTTCATTTAAATTCTTGTGCAAAGCTTAACCTCTGCAGGTACAGCTCCCTCACTCCTTCTGGTTTATAATGCAAGGCTTTTAACAGTGCAATTGGTTTCTTGCTCTTCAGGGATTTACTTACAAAGTGATATATCAAACTCCAGCTAAATCTTTAGAGGAATGCAGCTGCTTAAGCACCTCTGTACAATGTATTTCCTCCAGGATCTCCAAGATGGCTGGCATCCCTGCATGAGCTGCTCTGAGCAGCAGCAAAAGACTGGTAAATCCCTGAGCTCAAAATGACCTGCACTGAGCTAATGGGATCAGCAGATGGTGCTTCAGCTTTGAGATTTGTTAGAAGGGGGCAATTTTCTTTCACCTGTTTACCGTACCTTAATAAGAAGCATCAGTTTTTGAGAATTTCTGCACAGGCAGTCAGGCCCACTCTAAAGCTGAGCAGGCAATGCACAGCAGGAAGGTGCCATCTGTGACAAGAGACAGCTCTTGTTGGCAGAGCGTGCAAAGGAGTTTCTTATTCAAAGCCTAAAAATAACTTGTGTACAGCCAGGCAGAAGGATCACATAATACAAGCCACAGTATTAGAGGAATCTTTCAAAGACTTGAAGTGGAACTACAGCCATTCCCCTAGAAAGATAATCTGCTTTAGATTTAGAAACCTCAGCAGTGGGAGATCTACCACAGCTGCTGTTCAGCTGGTTAGTTATTCTTGTTATCTGTTTCCCGTACGTGATCTGCAATTAGCTAGCTTTGGCTGCTGGTGCTGCATGCCAGCCTGCTGGCTTACAGAGCTATCCACAACCAGAAGGCTGCTTTTACATAGCTGTCTCAAAACCAAAGATACTGTGTGAGATTTAAGCCTGCTTTCTGGAAGACCAGGTTCCTTCCATTTGGGGATAGGGAAACATGGAGAAATTGCCATAAAACAGTGAGAATATGAGGCTGCCACTTCTAGATTGCTGCTTTGACTCTAAAAGCAACAGATGTGCTCCAGTAGGGTGGATGCCAAATGCATGCACAGAGCCAAAGGTGTGACCTCAAAGTCCAGTCTAAAACAGATTGCTGCCATACCTTCCACTTAAATCACCTCGATCCATAAAAGAAAAGAGGCTTCCCAAACTGGCCTTAAAGATTATGTTTGAAGCTTAGAAAAGACAAAGAGAAAAGTAACACACTCTGAACATGATTTCGTATGCTGGGTTGTTGGCCCTGCTGACTCTGGAAAGTAGAATTAAACCTTCCTGTGATGTGAAATGAGAGCAGACAGACGTGCTCTTGCAGTTCTTGCTGACATTCCTAGTACACAGCACTGTGTCACCTGCCAGAGGGCAGAATTGGACACTCAGATAAATTCTATTCTTAACCTACACTGTCATACTGAGCTCTTGAATGTGTTCACCACCCACAGAAACTCTCACTTCTGGCTTGCTTTTGGCCTACCATGAAGAGAACAACCCATTGCTAGCAGAGAAAGAGGAAGGCAGCAAACAAAAAATACAATCCATTATCTGACCAGAAATATCCTACCTACAGGCAGACACGAGTTTTATGCTCCATTCTCGCCCCCTGCTGCATCACCAGCCCAAACACCACCCACCTCTGCTCTCAGCCATCTGCCAGGCTTCAAGGGGAGCTCTCAGCAAAGCACAACCAGGTGCTGTGCAAGAGAAGTGGGAACAACACCTCCCAGGCACCCTGCACCACACACACAGCAGGCACTCTTGCAACCAGGCAGCATCTATGTACGCTTCAATCATTCAAAGCATAAAGCTCTGCACAGTGCTTGGGTTTGGGCTCCAAAACTCATCTCCCATCTCAGCTCATCAGAGCACAGAAAGCATGGCACAGTGTGAAGTTCTCTTCCTCCCTTGCCCTACAAGGAATAGTAGGAGCTTAGAGTCAGAAGCATGGAGGACGCATTTGTTGTGTGCTTAAGCTGTGTTGCTGAAGATTTTTTGCTCTGTTTTGCATGTGTCTGTTCCGGGTGGTTTTCCTTGTGTTTAAAAAAAAAAAAGGCATATTTAAAGTTTACTTTACAAAACCTCAGCAAATTAACGCTGATCTTTTCCAGACAATTCCTCAAATGAATGTTCAGCAAATGCCTCCTCACAGCATGCAAAGATTTAGACACGCTGGAACCAGCTCTGCAAAGGATGCTCTCTAACAAGAGGAATTTAAGCACTGATACCAGTTCAATTTGCTGCTCTTTGATTTTAATATAAAAAGAAACACTTTCCGCAAGGGAAGTCTCAGCTTTCATCACCCGAGCTCTAGCACAGACTTTTGCAGGCTAAACTAATTCATAGATAAGCACTATTCCTAAATATTCACTATCTCTTGGCTTACACAGGTTCTGGAGAATGAAAAAACAGGCTGTGCTGACATCTGGTGGCTTTCCCTGTAGCCAGAGATGGTTTATGGCAATAGCTCCTGGGTTTTCACTGGAATTTTGCATCTCTTATGCAACCTCTCTCCTGTCTCCTTCTAAGATACAAAGCATTATAATAAAAACATTTCTGTTTTCACTGACCAGTGGACAGTGCTGTCCTGTGCGAGTCCTTTTGTAAAGCAACAAAAGATCCTTTGTTGTGCACAACTGGCTACACCATAGAGGCGGACTTTTCTTTATTTCAAAGGATATTCCTTCACTAATTTTAAAATGGACATTCACTTCCACAGAAAAGACTGCTATTGCATAGCACTAAACCACTAACATTCTGTAAATAATCAGAGATGGCAGCACAAAGGAAGGGGATGTGGCAGGGGAAAAAACAGTGTGTCTGCTTCTACAACATCGTGGTAAGAAAGTAAATAGCAGGAAAAAAATCAGTGCCTTCTTAACATGACGAGTGGCAAAATTATCTACTGGTCATATTTGGTTGATTCATTACTCATTTGCAAATCCTTGCCCTGTAGTACTATGAGAAGGAAATCCTGGAAGGAAGATCTGGTGCCAAGTGGTGCCAGACAGAAAGCCTGAGCTCAGTCCAACAAACTGTTCAATAAGCAGAAGTGTGCAAGTTGCCTTAAGCATTTTTAATGCCTCCAGCCAGCTGCCAGTGCCTCTAAAGCCAAGATCGTATCAGTCTAATGAGACCAAGAATGAGTATCAGATGTTCTGTTTTCTCATTCTAGTTCTTTGAACATTCAAGATTTCTTTGCTCCCAAGGACAGAGCCCACAAATGTCCTGTCATCACTGTGTCAAATGATGCACTGTGACCTGCAAGTTCATTTTTAAGTGAACGATCCATGGGGATGTGCTGAATACTCAGAATGAAAGAGAAACATCACAGCTTACAGCTTATCTCTGGATCAACTCTGAGAACGTTTTCATCAGATAAAGCAGTTGCACAACTTTAATGGTGGTGATCTCTGAGGACTCTTCTGTGTCACTGGCAGCATTTCATTCACTGTGCCAAGTTCTTAACTCTTGCATCTTCAAGGAGCAACTTGAATATATGCAGACAGAAAACTACACCAAAGCAGCAGCATGCAGAAATATATCAGAGCCAGAAAAAAACCAGCACACATCATACATCCATTTCTGCATTCAATTCTAAAAAATGATTGAAATGCATAACAATATAAAAACACCATTTTCATACCCTTACTGGTATAAAAATCAGCACTATTCCAGTGGCATATATAAGCCACTAGAGCTGTACATACAAGATTTTCTGTGTCTACTCACTCACAAATACCTCTTATCCCTCCTCATGGTAATTCCTTTCACCATTTCTTCTCCTTTAGCAGCTATTCACCCATGCCTCCTAACCAAAACTCCAATCTCTGAAGCAGTTTTCATTCTCTGAGAAGCATGGTAGTTCCCCAACTCCCAGTTCGACCACTTTTCCCTGCTACATTTCTATAACCAAGGAGAAGATGCCTCTTAGTTCAGCATCCACCCTGGATACTGTTCTTTTTGTTCATAATAAGGGTGGTGAAATGTTCCAAGGATGTCACATAGTGAAATGAATCCTTATTAACCCCACAATGTCAAAGAATAAGAGTAAAATTATACGATCTATCGCACTATACATTGAGGAGAAGTCACCTTTTATCAACAGTTATTGTGAACTAACACTGTTTATGGCCTTCTGCCAGGTTAACAAAGTTTGGTATCAACTATGTGGGTGGTTTCCTTTAATATACAGAGGATTTCATAACAACACATCTCAGACTTCAGTAATTTATTAGCCCATGTTCCCAGATTTCATTCAGTGTACAACAATCTTGGAATCAAACCAATTTTGAAACACGTATTGCTACACCATATCCCAACCAAAGTGTTGGAACAGAATCTATCTTTAAAAGTTCTCTGTTATTATCTATGGTTTCGTGGTGGCTTGAGGGTATTTTGGTTTTGTTTGTTTGTTTGTTTTGTAAAAAGTATTATTAAAAAAAAGTAGAAACTCACTTCAGGAAGAATCCAGATTACAAGTATGGTCATGGACAACATTACAAAAGGCTCTAATGTGCTGCTGCAGAAAGGAGCCAGCGAAGTGCCACTGCCAGGAAGAACAGAGCTCAGAGAGCACTGCTTTAACTCTTCCTTTGGAAAGAGAAACTCATCTAGAGCAACAGACACAATTCTTCGTTTGCATTAAGACATTTACAGTTTTCTTGCTGATGTTGTAGAATTGCTCCTTCACTGCAACATGCTCAGTGGCACGCTGAACTCCCTTACTGTACAAGCTGTAACTACAGAAAGGACATTGACATTTCTTTCAAACATCAGTTCTTTAAAGAGAAGGGATCACAAAACCAATCCAAATCTGTTTGAGAGGGTTGGAGACCAAATCAGAATTCCCACAACAGAAGCAAAGAGTGGCAATATTCACTCAGTGAGCCTGGACATGCTGAAAGCTATCACTGAGATGCCGTGGTAGGACAGTCCAAGACACTGCTTTCTCTGGTATGCCATCTACTTCCCACACAGCTACAGTCAATACTGTAAATCTGTCAGATCAAACCTCATTAGGGGAGCAGGGACCAGCAAGAGAAAGAGGCTTGGACTGAAAGATGATGGATGTGTTAAACGTTTTCCATAAATTCATCAGAGCATGCACATCAGCATTTAAATGTCAAGAGAACACAGTAACATAGGTGTGCTTACAAGATAAATACACTATCTCCTTTTTAATAGCAGACCTCTTTCACAGAAGAATAACACTGAAACAACACTGTTGGCTAGTGGAAATGCTAAGTCACAGCCTGAACCAGTGATTGAGCACCTGGTGGGAAGGCAGGGCCAACCCAGGGGAACTCAGATGCATGCAATGTACCTGACTGAGTGGAAGGGGCAGGTCCTGGCTCCATCCCTTCCCAGACATCATTTAAGGGTTGGCAGGGGGAAAGATAAGGACATTTTGTCTGAAGATCCTTGCCTGCTTGAGGACCTTACAGGCCTTGTGAAGGTAAGCAGCTTCTTTCTCTTATTTTCTGTTCCCCTTGCTGTCGTGTCTGAGTGCACTGTCACTTGCTGGGATCTGGGATCTTGTTGCTCTGCTGTCATGTTGCACTTTCCATTGCTTTAATGTAACTAATAGTAGCTACCTGAAAGGTCTCCAGTTTAAGCCACAGAGTTGTCAGGAAGGATGGAGAAAATGAGGTGGGAACAATGCATCAGCCCTACATCTAAAGCAAAAAGAACTTTTATTTAGAAGCTTTGGGAGTCATACATCTGTTTTCACTATCATGCCAATAAAAAATTAACAATCAAGGTTCTAGAAAACTGTAAGTTTACTTCTCTGGAGAGTCTCTAGTGGAAATGGTGCTGTCAGCTCTGACCCAGAACTGAGCGTAGATGTAAGGGCCTAAAGCAATTGCACAAGATCTCATTTGATTTAGCAGAACAAAGGCAGAGAGCCAGAATCATTTCTATTTCAGTGAAGAAAGGCTTAAAGACACAGTCCCAACTTGGCAAGCCCCTAGAAAGCAGTTTTGTAACTGTCTTTCTAAACTAGATACATGATTGTTTCTTTCTTCTTGTTCTTAATTTATTGTTCTTAATTTGGTTAATTCCAGGAAAGTCTGGAATTACCAAGAACTACCAGATAGCAACAGAGCATTTGGTGCTTGGAAAGCAGGAAAGAATCAATCCCATCTGTTGTCAGATTGGGCCTCTCCTTGCAAAAATGCAATCACTTGGGTTTTATTCTTAAAACTGAAAACTTGATCCTTGAGACTACTTGTAACAATGCCCAACTCCTATTTCTGCACAGTGAAGCCCTGGCGTAACTCTGGTTTCTACCTTGGATGAGAAGGTATTCTCATAAAGCAGTGTAGTAACAAGCAAGCTTGTCCTGGAACACAAAAGCCTCTAAACAGTTACTTTCTGTTTCAGCATGCTAAGGAGGGCTGGAAGGAAGTATAAAGAAAAGCTTTCACCAGCAGAGAGCCTGAAACACTTGCCAGTCTGCACCCTTCAAACAAAAGAACCTAAACAAAGTGAGTGGAGTAAATCTGTTACTTGAAATACAGAGTTTCTCTTGTCAAGCTCTCTGAAACAGTCACAAAAACATTCAGTTTTCATTACAAGTTACTACTGAGAGGGGTTTTTACTGTGTGGTGTATATTCTCAATATGAAGCTGAATAATACTGCAGGATCATACTGGGAATGTGTGCCATAGGTCAGAGCATTTGCACTGCCTCCGTTGTGAAAGAAAAGCAAAGGGAAAAGAAATGTGAGAGGAAGGAGGCAAAAAACCCATGCACGTCCCCCAGCCTTCCCTCTCTAAGTCTCAGCATATTGGCAGAAATTAATTTCTATAGGAAGGGAATTGCACTGTTTGCAAAGCAATCCTCAAGGATTTATTGATCTTTTAAAGAAAAAGTCATTAAGCAGGGCAAGGAAGATTTACAACAAGTATGGGAAAACAAAACAATCTCTTGGGATCTTCACCAGGCCGAAACAGGATTAGCTTTGTAGTTTCTGTAATCTTCCTCACAGAAGAATGCTAATTCGGTCTCATTTGCTAGAACAAATAAAAAATTAAAGATTTAGCACACCAGGTAATGAACCACCACAAACAACAAGCAGCTACTTGGAGCCTTAGAAGACAACTGATGACTTGTTGGTCAAAGCCAATTATAAATCACCAAACATTTCCTTCCTCCCACCACCTCATATTTTTACTGAAGAGATTCCAGTACTAAATGCACAGCTTTACTGTGTTAGAAGAACAAGAACCTGAGTACATACAAGCACATAAACAAGATTCTTCAAGATTTGTTTAATGTAGGCTACAGAATTGTCTGTTTTGCATTCAGCGAATTAAGTGATTTTATTTCTAATGTCTTCAAATGCCAGAAAAATAATGAAGTGTAACTTTCTCTTTTTTGTGCATTTGTCTTTTAGGGAAGAAAAAGAAACTATTTTCTTCCATGAAATTAGCCTGTAGGTATAATAATCTAATACTTAGAGGATCAGTAGAATATTTTACAGATCACTTTACGCTCTCCCTTATGACCCATCAAAATATGTGTCTGAAGAAGTTAATTTTTTGCCCTGCTGATGATTAATTCATGAGGCTTCAACAATATGCAAAGTGAAAGACACAAATTGGCTTCTCCAGCAATACCTTCAAATACCTCTAATTATTCACAGGGGATATGGCAGAGCTAAAGGACCCACAAAGGTTCAGAGCAGTCACAATTCTTTCAACCCAGTAGGTCAAGGACTTCCTCTTCTAAAACAGTAAGTCAGCAACATTACTAATTCAGAACAGAGACAAATCTGATGGAAAGCCTTCACAATTATTAAACATGGACTTCTTTAAGGTGCTGAGCCAATAAGTTCCACGCTCATTTTTCAAATTAAACCTGAAGTTAATGAAGACTGCTTGTCTTGTTAAAAAAAAAAAAAAGGGGGGGGGGAGGAGGGGAAAATAGCAGAAGGGGTTTTAGAATCTCAACTAGAAAACAGACAAGACTGTTAGCAATGAATCCCGAATGCTTTATTTACATACACCCTACTTCAAAAAAAAGAGCACTATGCTGACTGGATCATAGCTGTAACAATAGCCACAACCACAGAGGCTTTTACAAGGATACCTATCTAATGTCCTCAAACTTACAATTTCCTAACCTAACCCTGTTAAGTGTCAAAGATGATCAAATGCAGCTTAGAAAAAAACATCTGCCAGTCTCCAAATTTCCTAGGTTTTCTAACAGAAATTGTTTTATTCTAGAAAATCTTATCCAGACTAAATAATGGAAAAGGACATAATATGCCCATAGGAGGTTTCAAGTCTTTCTGCTGTAAGTGTACAAAATGATAATTAATGGTACTTGCTATCATGCTTCACTTTGTTGATTTCCCATCTTTCACTTCTCATGGAAGGATTGCTAGAAGACTTTACTACAAAGACCCCATGCCTAACTTGGCTAATTTTCTGGTCAACACATGCTGGAACATATCAAAATTGTAGAATACCCTGAATTGTTTCCTTCTCTTAATAAGCCACCAAACTCTTTATACATATGCACAGAGCAGTCGGCTCTTCTCTAGCCTCAATGTTCTGATACTTGTTTTGAGATCACATTGAACCTTTTCAGCACTGTAGCTACAATCTCAGTTGCAAAGATGTGTACAAATATTTAATGCCTTTTTGAATGTGGGCAGCTCTGGATACTACCAGCTCCAGTGTAACACTCAGTGCTGTCATCAGTCTCTCTTCTGAGCTGTATTGCCTTTTGCATCTTAGGTAGATGAGAATCATGCTTAAATGAAGTTTCTGCTAGCTAAACTACAAATCAATAAGGCTTGAGTGCCAATAATCCTCCTTCCTGAGGAATTATTTTTCTCCTATCTGAAAAGCTCTGGGTTAGTTTAAAAAAAGCCAAAGATGACGATGACTTTCGGGAAAGGCATACTGAGGCAGCTGTGGTACATCCCAGAGAAAAGCAATGAAGAAACCCCTTCCCCCCATGTCATCAAAAAGTAAATGGCCAAATGGCAGAAGCTCTACTTTTTGAAACCTTTCACACTAAATGAGACAAAAGAGCCAAGAAACCCATAAGGAAAAAAATATATGTAATATTTCTGGGAAGCAATCAGAGGACTTCAGGAGCAGGAAGGAGCTTTCTTTGACACCTCTGCACTTAGAGAGCAGGGAGTTATGCACCACAGCTAGGCAAAGCACAATCAAATGAGTGTGTGTCCATATCAAGGTGGAATGTGACTACATTCCCTGAAGTGCCCTGCTGCCACAAAGCCATTCAGCCACATTTATGAGAAGCCCAAAGGACATCCAGGGACCATCAATTTCATCATGACAGACATTTCTTTACATTATTACCAAATGACATGCCCTATATGCAATCCCCTGTCAAAATGTGAGAAATCAGGTCAAGCTTCAACTTCATGCTACGTTCAGCACTTTCTCTAAATGACATTACTTGAGCTTTTCCATGCAATCTGACTATCAAGAACTGTACGTTGCACACTAAAACAAATCTAATCTTGTTTCATTATTCCATATTGGTTCTACTACTTACATTACTAACCAAAACATCAGTTTAAATGTTACTGGTAAGACTAAGCAGGCATGGTACTAATAACCTATCTGCCAATCATTTAAAATTGCTCTCTGCAGAATTACAAGCATACCTTCTAAAATCACAATTTGTATTCTGAACATTTGGAGTGCAGATACCCACTGCCCTCAGTTCAATGATTTGAATGTATATTATCCTGCCTTCTTCCCAGAATAATTATCAAGTAGTGTAAAGAGCATCAGGAATACCATTTACTTTTCAGCAGGCTATCCAAACAATCAGCCAGTTATCAGTTTAATGACAACCACAATGAACAGCACCTTCAGTCAATATAAGTGTTCTCATACCTACTCCAGCTGCTTTCAGTGTGCTGTCTTCTTTCAAAATCAGTTTGTCGTCATCTTCCAAACTCACTACTAGATCACCAGTCTACAAATTAGAGAACAGGAACACAAAGATAAGAATTTACTGTCTTTGTTCCAGTCCTGTTTTACAGTGCAGAGGTCTGCCTGCATTAAAACATGCAAAAAGGAAGAAAGCAGCAGATAGCCATACCTTAGATTTGTGAGCTTGGTGAATAATCTTCATTGTATCTGAAAGAAAATACAGTGTTTTCCTAAAATAAGGCTTATTATGCAGGCAATGCTGGAAGTTATACTTAGGGAAGAAAAAAGTAACAAAGGGCTATGATTGAAAAATTCTTTATTATTAACAATTGTCTGAAATTGTCTTTATTACTAACAATTCAGTCTGAAAGAGAAAACCTTTTGGTTTCCCAATCTTGCAGCCAGTCTTACACCAGTCATTCCAGCATTAAGGCACTACAACTTAAGGATCTTCTGTCTACTGCTTGAATTACAATAACTAAGTAGCCATCCCAACTGCCAGCAAAATATACATTTGTCAAAATACCAGTTAGGGTGTTCTAACCAAACAGGTTTTACACATGCAATGGGGCAGGACAAACAGTATTAATGTGCTTGCACCTACTACAGCTCAGTGGATAAGAAGCAAGAGATGAAGGCACAGCAACCTGATCAATTCAGATCATTCCTCAAGATCTTCCTTCCCATGAAGAAAGTATCCATGGTAGAAATTGTTGAGCAAGCTCTTTCTCCATTAACGTGCACAATTTCTCTTTTCTTTCTACGCTCTCTTTGTACTTGCCTGTGATATTTTTATGCAGTGTTGAATTAAAGTGTTGCAACCAGACCAAGTAATCATGGCAAAAACATACAGTGATCATGAAACCATTCTACCACAGCAAATGCAATCCTCCAAGTTTTAAGCTTCTAGGTGTACTTTGCCACATTTCCTCTTTTACTGTTTTTGGCACAGTTGTTCTCTGATCTATTGACTATATTTTATTTACATCTTTACCACTGGCACCCAGTAAGTTATTGTGTTCTCATTTGAGTTATTAAATGCTTTCTCTAACTGTCACTGAGATGAAACTGCACTTTCTTCTCATCATAGCTGCATCCTCTCAATTGTTTTTGTTGTTTCGTGGATCCTTCATGGCAGTAAATATGAAGTGGCCTTCTGTGTCAGAAATATCACCCATACTGTTCCATATTTATGGGAGGAAAAAGTAGAGAAGCTGTCAATGAGACAAGATGGCACTCAGGCCAGCATCATCAGCAAAAAGGAGGTAATGTTGGGGTGGAAAGTTGAGAAGATGGCCTAGAATTCTTCTCAGTCTAATGATGTGTAACTTCTACTAGCACTGTTCATGCAGAAGTCTTCCTGCCCTTTCATCACCAAAATACAATAGAGATAATACAACACACAAGAGATGCCAAAAATCAAGAACCTGGAGGTATGATTCGCAGCCTATGGGGAAGGTGAGGAACTTGGGCTTAATTTTTTTTCTGTGAAAATTTCAGCATAGCTGGCACCATCCCACAGAAATAGGCCCTCTCCGACTTGCCTAACAGGTTGTGAAGTTCTGTGATGTTTTTTATCCACATTATGCACAGTCCTACGCAACACAATCAGGTGCTCAGCCACAACATTTGTTCTGGGCAAGAAAGAACAAACAGCAGGGACAGGCAGCATCAGGCATGCAACTGCAGTCCTAGATGGACTCCCTCATCTATACATAGCAAGAGATATCGGGGGGAGGAAGGGCACCTCCAAATTCAAACTATTAGGACATCAGGTATTACATTAAAAACAATAATCTTCAACTCCTTGTTACTGACAATTGCAAATCTTAATCCCTAACTTCTTCTGTTTCCATCTCACACCATCAGCTATCAGAATGACATGCTTGGCTTTTTTTTTAATAGGCCAATAGAGTCAACTGCTATTTGCATGTATTAAGTTGGTTTCTCAGTCAGTTTTTAAAATCACTGAAGAGAAAGAAGCTTGTAACTCCAGAACATGGGAGACAGGTGATCACTTGTAACAAACCTCCAAGGGAACTTACAGAATTGTTGAACTGAGGAGAAGGTATGTGACTGACATCTGAGTTACCACGCTCCAAGATTTGAGATAATTTAGTTTATTTTGAAAGTATGTTCCATCCCAAATTGATGATAGTACACAATCATGCAAAACTTCATACAAAGAAACACAAACACTGTTTCACATTAGAAGATAGACTGAGCCTAAATTTGATACCAGGCTATTTCACTCTGTCAGCTGTTATTTAAGAGCTTTCTTATCTACTTTGAGTGATGTTCCCCTGCTCCTCTCATATTTTGTAAATTATTTACGAATATGAGTTTTATGCATTTTCCTTCTACTGCCATAAGCTCCTGCTTCATGATCCTTTTTGATCTCACAATTAGTAAAAACATACCCAAATACATATGCACAAATGGAACTACAATTTCAAAGTGTTTGAGGTCACAAGCTGTTCTGTAAAGTAAAAACAGAGCTGAAAGGTGCTTATAAAAGTAATAAAAATATTAATATCAAAAAATGTTGCTACCTATTAGCAAAGAACATATAGCATGCAGCCTAATTCAAAGATAAATACAGAAGCTCAAAACAATGGTCAGGTTCTTCAGGTCCTGGAGGTATAATCATCCCAATTGCAAGAGCTGCAAATATAGGCAGGCACTGAAACCAGTATGATTATGCTAAAATAGCCATCTCCTAAACTGTCTAAATTGGTATAAAAGATTACAGCTGCATTTTGCTAGAGATAAGTTAAGAAAAAATACCCACCGTATTTGTAAGCTTTAAAAGGAGGAGGAAGACCTGTTCTTGAAGGCACATCTGTTAAAGAAAATCACAAAGAATGAAGTTATCTTTCTATATTTCTAGTAATGCATGTGAGTGCATTGCATACACCCTGGACATCAAAATAAATCCTCGGCACAGGAGAGTCGTTAGAGTATTAAATACTGAAATATAGCCTTTGGCTCAGATTCTGCAGTTAGTCCGTATTGGCTTAACTTCACTCGAGCATGAAGTCCCTCTGAACTGAATGATCCATGCAGACAGCAATTCAGTGCAATTAGGTTGTGATCACAGGAGTCTGATCCTTCAGAAATCTCCCAGAAACATCCTGTTAATGGTTCGCATGGTTCAAAGTTCAGCATCTCTCACTATCTTACACTCCAACATCCTAACAACTATCATTACTAACTGAATTGTTCAGGAAACACAGCTCTGCTAACCAGTCACAGCAAGGAAGCCAAACAGTAGAAAATAACTCTTTAGATACATACTATACACAGCCTCCCTGGTGCCAGTGTCCCCAGTGACATCTAGGTATTTACCTAGGCCTTGTGAGGCCCAGCTGCTATCAGTTACTTGGCAACAATGCGGCTGAAAGCAAAAATCCAGTTTAGAAACTTATCTCAAACTCCTCCTTCAAAACAGATTACAGAAAAGGAAGGAAACATGGATTTTGGACCAGGAACAGTAATACCCATCTGTGAAACACAGCTGGCACCAGTTTTGTCTCAACAATGAATTACAATACCGCACACATCAAAAGCAAGAAGTTTTTGTGTGTGTGTGTGTGTTTTAATTTTCTTTTTCATAACTGCAGCTGTACCATATGCTCTGAAAGTGCTTGTCGTTCTCTAAAAGCATCCTAAGATCTAGCCATGCCAATCACTGTCTACTAGAAAGGAAGTTGCTGAAAACACAGTACAGCTGTGACGCTCAGGGCAATATCCCAGAAGTTGCTCAAATGCAATCAGTTGCAACAGTTCCAGACTTGTTTAAGCTGACATCATGCAAAATAAATAAATGAATCAAAGCCTGTTGATCTCCACACTTTGAATGTCTCCATTTAGATGTGAAGAAATATACCTGCAAGATTAGTTAACACCCTAACTAATGAGTTGTTACATGGGCTGGTCTGCATCTATTACCCTTTAGATACACTGTCACTTTCAGACAGGTTCTGGAAACATAATGTCCATAGAGGAGTAAATCTGTACCACAAAGCTCAAGACGAGGACAGAAACTCAGAAGCGAGCAGGCAGATCTCACAGTGTCAAAAACAATTTTTCACAATCCCCTCTCCTTTCACAAATAGCAAACAGATTTTCATTCCCACATTCCACACAGTGGTGCAACTCCTACGGATCAAAAGCTCCTTAAAATCTATTTATTTCCCCCAGTTAATTTCTGAATAGCTGCCTGACAGCACCGCCCAAGGAGCCCGAGGCATGGAGCCAAGTGTAGCAATGCCCTTGTCTGGCAGTCAAAAAGCATGGAGCACTTGGAGGATTTAGGCAGACATAGCAGTACACTCAAATGCAGGCATGGCATAGTGGAAGCTCTCATTAGGGGCAGACCTCTCATCCAAGGGAAGAGAGCACAGGGGACAAAATACAAATCTGGCATCTCTTCCAAAGCCACAGAATTCCCACATTTTTTTCCACTTTGCTTTCTAGTGTAGGGTTGACAACAAAAAGGACAAGCAAATAAATAACAATCCCTTACCCTTCTGCACAAAAGCAATGAACTGCTTCACTGTCTGATCCAAGTTAACTCCATGATAAACCACAGGCCTGAAATTCCGGTGCTCAAAGGAGCGAACAAGGCGAACCGTGATGGTTGAGCTTTCTGCTGACATGAGAATTAATTTTAAATAACCTGGAAAACATCAAAGAGAGGAACTATTGACTTTCCTCTGTGCATGGGCACAGCTGGAAAACAAGGTGCAGGTAAGCCTCAGTGATAGACTCACACACATGAGGAGACATTTCATAGCAGCGTGCCTCTCAGGGCTTTGTTTTTAGTAGTTCTACAGAAGCAGCAATGGAATCTCAAGCAGTTACCCAGGGTTTTATTGGCCCTGCACGTGAAGCAGAGCATGTGTGCACTGTGTACTGCGGCACCCGACTCCGCTAAGCAGACAAGAATGTTATGGATAAATGCAAGTGATCAATTTGTGGTTTGGGTGATTTTACCTGCCGTACCCTTGTGCTCTAAAAGAACGTACTGGTGTGATCAAAAGCAAACCTTTTTAAATGTATTTATATTGTACAGAGCTTAATATCCCAAAAAGATCCCTGGGCTGTTACACGATGCTCCTTCTCACCTCCTTTCAGGGACTGAACACTCCCCTCCACTTACACGCAAATAATTCTCCTGGGATACTACAGCAGTATTAATGGGGTTAATTCGTAATGACATGAATGGACAACGGCTCCACGTGCTTCACACTCCTTTGATAGAGAGCAGAATTTTCAACTGCTCTGTTTTACCAGCCCAAGCCCCTCTTTAAACAAGCCCACCCCCAGCCTCCCCTCACGCACCCAGGGACAAATGGCGACTGCCCCACACCCCGGAAGAGGAGCGTGAGCAGCTCCCAACCTTACCGCAAGGCCGCAGCCGTTACTTCCGGGTTTCGCCCTCCGCCCCGCCCCCTTGCGCAGTCTCACCAATCACATCTGACGGGTGATACGGATCCTGAACAAACCGAGCCGCGGGATTGGCTGCAATGCGCCCCGTCCCCGCCCCTCAATCCTGGCCGCCTCGTTGTCGGGCAATGTCCAAGCCCCGTGCCGAGGTGGGCAGACTCCCCAAAGCTCTCCCATGCGGCGCTGCTTTTCCATTGGTCCTTTCCCCGAATTTTCCCCTCCCCCCGCGAGCGCCGATTGGCGCGTTGTTAGCCGCGGCGCCGGGATTGGCCAGCGGGCTCGGTGGCGAGGGCTGAGGCGGCAGAGCGGCCAGGGCGGTGCGGCAGAGTTGCGGAGCGCGGCGTTAGGGGTTCGTCGCCATGTCTGAGGTAGGGGCGGCGGCGGGGCCGCGGCCGCGGGGTGGGCGTCCCTTTCTTCCTTCTCGGTGCTGACCCACGTCCTGCTATGGGGCCTTTTCCCCCAGGCCGCGTTCCAGAAGGCAGCTGAGGAGGTGAAGCAGCTCAAGTCGCAGCCTACGGACCAGGAGATGCTCGACGTGTACAGCCATTACAAGCAGGCCACGGTGGGCGACGTGAACACAGGTACGTGCTGCGGGATTGCTGGGCACCTCCGTCAGTGGGGGGCTGCTGAGGGCAGGGATGCTGCTCAGTGTGAGCACGTTTGGTCAGGTGTGGGCAGCATTAGGAAGAGTGATAAACTAGAGCGCTAAAAGTAGTACTGGAAAACTAAAACAGGAAAATAACCCGGGATGTGTACAGGAGAAGGAATACTTAGAAAAGCTGCAGTCAAATATCGAGCTGCAATCAAATATCATGGAAGAACTGCAGCAGAAATACTTCTGCAGAAGCGCTGTGCCAAATCCCTGCTGCTGCTTGTGATGCCACTAAAGCTCAGACTGTGACCAGCATTTAGAATGAACCCTGTCTTTAGTGACCTTGTGTAGCACTTGAGAAACCAGAGCTAGGAAGAAAAGGGGTGTTTCAATGGGGCTCTGGCCTCCTGAACTGGTTGTTTCCGAAGGTTTCTGAGTGCTGACTGAATCCAGAGCAGGCAGGGAAATGTACTGGAAATGATAAGTGTGGGTGTATGTAGTTGTTTATTCCCCCTATGACAGACAGCACTGGGAGGTGAAAGAACTGAGCTTGATTTCAAGATGTAAGCCTTTTGGCATGGTTGGAGCTCAGTGTTTTAGTTTACCAAAGTGAAGTGGTGCTGTAGAGCTGTTAATGTACCAACATGTCTGTAAGTGGTTGCATTGCAGTGAAGCAATAAGCAATAGCTGAGTTGTCTGGGAAAGCAATCTAAGAGTAAGCTGATAGGTTTTTGTGCTGGAGAGAAGTACAGCTGCCAGCTATTTCTGTGCACAGCACAAAAGGACCTCTGTGGCTAATGGTTAGGCTACTTACCAGTGCTGTTTAATTGGTAATCTCAGGAACTGTATTTATTGAGACAGAGGAAGTGAAAACAGAATAGATGTCAAATGAAGACTGATCATATACACATCCACACCTAACCCTGTTCTCTGTTTGGCTACAGTGTGGCTTGTAATGAGATGAGTTAGAATTCAGTGCCTATACTCATAGGATGACAGAACAAAGGAAGTACTTCGTCAGAAACATACCATTAACTTGATGATAAGATGTTCTAAGCTTTATATTACTGGCTTTTGATTTCTTGTCTTTGGGCATTTCATGACCTAAGGACATTTCTGCTTCACTTTAGAGCTGATGTTCTTTAATCAGCTTGTTTTTATGCTGCAGTATTCTTTTCAAAAAGTGCAGTGAGAGACCAAATGGCACCATTTGATGCTCTTCTGTTCAGATGCTGCTGTCTTAAAGGAATTTGACAGGGAGCTTTTCTACTGCTACCAGTAGCATGTGAGCTTCTGACTGCAGGTTAGAAAGGGGTAGCTGCTAAGGTGAACCAGAGTATTTTATCATGGTTAAGAACTAAATAGGCTTCAGGAAAAGAGTCAGAATTATCTACAGCCAGGCCACGCAAACTAACTGTGCTGCTTATCCTTTCTCCTAGATCGCCCTGGTATGCTTGACTTCAAAGGCAAAGCAAAGTGGGATGCCTGGAATGCATTGAAAGGTAAGTGTCTACTTAAAAATTAAAAGTGAATAAATAAAACTAAGGGAAACTACTCAGAGAACCACATGTGGTTCAGCAAGAAATCAAATGGTGTTGCCTTGTAAGAGCTTTAGGAGTATAAAATCATAATTCTTACTCTCTGCAAGGGAGAAATAGTTCTGAAAAATGTAGGCTGTCTATCAGAAGAAGATTTAAGTTGCCCAGCTGGATGAAAATGTTACACAAAGGCAAACTGTAGCAGCAGCAGAAACTTAAATCTCCTTTCTGAGTCCCAGCCTAGCAGTACCTCAGAGTGATCTGCTCCTCCAGTTCCTTCCAGTTGTTCTTTTTCTTCTAGAGTTTTTCTAATCAGAATATCTGGGATATTTGCTGAGGAGCATAACAAGAAGTCTAAGCTATGAAAATGTGGTTTTTCTAGTGTTTCAACCAAGCCAGCATACATCTAAATGCAGTCTGAGTTGTTTGAATAGCTTTCCTACAGTAAATGGGAACTGAGTTAATAGAGTTAAGGCACTGTCTAGTTGTTGTCCATACAAATATAGCTTTGCTGTAAAACCGTTGAGCAATTTTGTTCAAAACTTTGATACTGGATTCATAGCCAAGTGACCCTATTAAGCTTCTCTGCTATGCTGTGAAGTAGAATAGCAGGGAGCTGTGACTTGCATATAAATACTATCCTAATGCTGAAGGCTGTTTTAATTCCTAACTCAGAACTGAGTGACTCTACGCTTGTGGCAGGTACTTTAACAAAGGCTCATGGATCTTTTATGTAATGTAATTGTACAGGTGCAGGCTGAGATACTGAAAAAGATGCCTGCTAAGGGAGTTATTCTATTGCTGATCATGTTTCTTTTGTCCAGCTACAGTAGGGAAATGTTTTATTGAATGTGGAGAACTTGGCAGTGATTCTAGCTGAGAGAAAGGCAAAACAGATGCACTGCAGTAAGTAACATGTCAGAAAGTTGTTCCTTTAATAGTGACTTGAGAATGCACATGTAAATCAGCAACATCCATATAGAAGGGAGTCAAAACTGAAAAATGTTCAAAGATCTATTTCTGAATAGTCAACAGAACAGTGCATAAGGGAGCATTAAAATTGTCTGATCAGGCAAATAAACAGTGATGAATATAGCATGGATGTATTTGTAGATGAGCAGGCTCATGAATCTTGCAGGGTAGAGGAACAGGAAGAACAGCTGTTGTGAATCAAACTCTGAGCTGATGAAGTTGAGACACTGTTGTCACCAGGCTTCAGTTGTCTCTGCATTTGTGTGTCCCTGCTCAAAGAAAAGCTGCCTCGGGGCATTCTGTTGAGCCACTGTATGTATTCTGACTGCTTCCTCTGTTTGTCTTTCAGGAATGTCCAAAGAAGATGCAATGAAAGCTTATGTAGCAAAAGTGGAAGAGCTAAAGGGCAAATATGGTATCTGAGGACTGGATAGAGCATCTGTTTGCACATCTGAAACATGCCTTATTTCTAATACTGTGGAAAACTGATTTATGATGCTGATGGTTTTAAATATGAAGTATACTGTAGCCTGTTCTTGTGATGATTGTAGTTCAGGGGGAGGTCACATACCTGTGTAATGTACTGACACCATTTGAATTTTGAGAACAAAACAATCTGGAACTCATTAAAGTGCATTTGATACTTTAGCTGTTGTGATGGTCGTCCCCGAGGAATTATTCTGAGCTCATTCACGAGTGGCTGTGTCACAGCTTTTAAACGCTAAGGTTAAAGGGGTGGTTAGCGCTCACCTCTCCAGTCGTGCCGCCAGGGGGCCTTAGTAGTCTGTTTCACTTGTATCCAAACCAAACCGGTGATGTCAGGTGCTGCTTTGGGAATTTCTTGTGGATAAATTGGAACTGACAAAAGCTGGAGCACAGAGATTATCACTGAGGCTGTGTCTGATGCTTTGTATGCTTAGAACACGGTGCTTGGTCGTTGTTGCCTGAGGTGTTCAGATTGATTCAACAACTGCCAAATGATCTTCCATACAGTGCTTCTTGGAGATGTTATCCCTGAACAGCAGTGTTAGATATGGCAGATTCTCAGGATCTGAACACAAAGCGTCCTCTGTGAAAGAAAGAGTTCTGCAGACAGATGAGCTGTTGATGCCCCCTATGCCTTACCACTGTAGATACAGAGCTTTGGTGTTGCCATGTACTGCAGCTACAGTGAGAGGTGAATCACTGGTTTAACACTTACATGGGTCTTCATGAAAAACTTGAAAGTCAGCAGAAGTTTACAAAGTCCACAGTTGTAACAATCTGAAATAGCTCCTTAGCTAGTCTGCCTGCATAGCATGACCTGGTGCAGTTGCAGCTGCCAGAAAGGGTGCTTAAAATGTGACACTGAACCAGCTTAGCATAGGGCGTGTAAGAATGAAGTCTCCACCTTGTACAGGAATAAGGCATACTAATTGCTGCTGTCCTGAATAACATCAGAATGGATGAAGATTTGAAATAATAGCACCTTCTGGAAAGCGACTGGGTTTGTTCTCTGTTCTCCTGAGGATCACTCACTTGAATTCCTGTTGTTGGTTTGCTTTTTTTTTTTCCCCTCAGTAAGTGGTATAAACATTTTGGAGGTTTCAACTTCCTCTTGCAGCTACTTGACATAAGTGAAATATTCACCTTGCAAAACATAGGTAAAAGCAGACATTCAGCAGAAGGGATTCTTAGCTCCTTGCCAGCCCTGAATTTCACAGCAGGCTCTGTTTTGCAGCTGTATTTTGTCACGCTGGCTAGCAGTGGAAGATTCT